ACCTCTACACTAAGAAACTAAATTTAGAATTGGTATTTGCTCTTACAGGTTTTCTTCTGTGTTCCAACTTATTTACACTACATCAATCATTAAAACTTACTCAGATGTAGCTTCTGCCTCTCTATTGAAGTAGATAATGACGGAGGATCCAACAATGGGAAAACCAAGTAAAAGAAGGAGAATAATACCGTAGAGAACAAGGGCAACAACAATGTTAATGTGAAGTTGGTAAGTCCGCTTCGAAAATTCCTTCTTTCTTGAGCGGATTCGCAAAATCAGTCTAAAAAAATGTTCATTTAAACTCTATATCATTGTATTAGGCAACAGACATGTACAACCATTTTTGAAACTGATATTGTCAGGTGCGGAATTTGAAAACCGTATTTGCTCGTGAAATGTTTTCATTATTCAGTCAACCCAGTTTCATTTATTAAGAGATCGAAAAGTAATCGGACACCTAGTTTTCTTACACTGTTTCTTTACCATGCTTCTTAAGATTTTTACGACTTTCCGAAAGTTATATGCAAGGTTTCTCTTTCACTTAACAAACAGTCAGCAATAAAAATCCATTTGTCCATAAAAATCCATTCCAAATCCAAAATCCATTTGCAAAATCCATTTTTAACGACCTTCAGCTGTCATCCTGACATAACTGTGCTGCTCTTTTCCTGCATACAAGCATCGCTTCCAATAAATCAGACAAACTCACGAATTGAGACATTTTCTCATACCGTCGTTTTCGAAGATTCTAAGATATCAAGTAAACAGCGATATTTATATCGTCTTCTATTGGCTACGGGGCAAGCAGCTATAGGACAGTTTTAGAAAGACGTTAAACAAGACAAGTAAGTTCTTTACGAAAGAAATTTCATCGTTCTGAGAGTTTAATTATAATGGTGACGAGAACCCACTTTGTTATCATCATTCCGCATGCGACAAATATGGTTGTGTAAGCCATTGCCCAGCCAAGTACGCCTAATTCGACTCCATGCCACGTATAATGAACAATCACAGCAGAATAACGTACTAAATATGCACCCGATGAAGGATACAGCTCCGCTACAGTTGTAGTGGGTGAAGGCTCGCTCAACAGTGAGTACGGTAGAATTACACTTGGAACAACTAGCATCAAAATTGGAATGAAAATGGATGCTACTTTGACACCGCTAAAAATTGAGCTGCTCAGAAAAGAATGATGAAATACTGAGATGTAGTTTAGTGTGACTGAATAGAATATGCTGACAGAACTAAGTGTTCCGAACCAGCAGAATATGACCATATGTAACATCGTCATTGAGGGACCAAAACTCATGGGTCCCAATGTTGCGATGACCGAGTATGGGACCACGATATACGGTACGAAAATGAAACACGTAGTGTTGCAAAATATTGCAGGAAAGAGGATGTTGCAGTACATCAATATTCGATGAATAGTGGCTAATTCGAGACGACTTGTCTTCATAACGTAGATTGTGAAGACCAATACGATGTTGGTCATGACACCATAAAACAGCATAGTGCCTTTTTGGATCCCAAAAACCACCGAGTGCTTTTCGAAAGCAACGTGAAGGTCCTGATAGGTGGAGAGATTCATATATGCAGGTTGGAATACAGCAGCAGATGTAATGTGAATTGCTATTTGGTCAACTTGCTGGAAAATCTGATCGAAACTGTGCATCAAACTTTTTTATTCCATAGTTATTTAAATCGACCTTGAAAGTATAACAAGTCACAATTATTTACGAAGAATGAAAATTCACAATGAATTACTGCTTGCATCTGCTTCAGCAAAAATTACTGTGCTTAGATTACGAGTAGAAAAATTTAACGACCAGATCAAGTGCTTAATTTAGTATTGACAAAAGTAATTCACTTCATGATTGGTTTACATGCCTTCACCAACTATATTATCGAAGGGATAAACTAAGCAGCTCACGATCAGCAACAATGTTAACCTTCTTATCTGCATAGGCCGAGGAGAGGTTTCAAAGTAACATTTCTCATGTTACAAACTTCTAGCCACAGCTATTAGGAGCTTATTAACAAGACCTGTCTCTTTGACTATGATCAATTAAGGGCAGTTTTTTTGCGCTGAACTTGCTAGCATAGATGTGAGTCAGAGTTTGCAAAAAAAAACAGAAACTTGGAAAAAGTCTTCGTAGTGGGTTTAATGACCATCAAGAGCTATCACGCTACGAATAACGAACAAACTTTCGACCGAATAGCTGTTGGTCTCGTTTTCGTGAGGTTTTGAACTCCACTATTTGTACCCAATTGAATCTCATTAGCTATGCAACCTCATACACAAACAATAATATTTCGAACCTGAGTACTAGGTTCCTAGGACTTGCACTAAAAAGAATCCTTGATCTTCCTTCAAGTTCAAGAAAGGCGGCCATTTTAATATCAAAGAAGAGTTTTTTTGCTTTATGAAGGTGTTTAGATTGGAATATGCCATTGGCATAACGCAGCGACAACTGATTGAGAGGAATACTCAGATAGTGTTATACTGAATTTTGGCAGTAAGCTACGATATTCAATTTAATTTGATTTTAACTTTAGTTTTAGTTTTATGATCGACATCTCATTCCGACATAGGAAACTCTGATATGTATTGAAAAAAAAATAACAATTCCTTTCAAATGGAGCATACGAGAAAACTGAGAGCTTGAAATTCAAAGCGAAATATATTATATTTGACCTAACGCATGATTTTGAAAGTCC